AAAATTCGGGGCGGTTAGTATAATTAGGAGGGGCATTGCTATGCGGAGAGCCAAAATACTCCGGCATTTCCCCTAGTCCCATTTCTAGGTCTAAACTAAAGGAATCCTTCGCGGAAAATTCTTGCATTCTTTTTTGAACATGAATGTATCAGTTGTGATCACTAGATGCAATACACAAAGTTTCACGCATGAAGATTCGGTTTCCGAAGAGAAACAAACTCACGAAAATCCATTCTATGGACAATCGAAGGTAATTCGGGCGGAGCCAAAGGCGGGCATGGAAAAGTCCGCCTGGGGCGGCTACGTATCAGGCGACGCAATGAAAGAATCGGGTTAAGCGCGCGATTTCGGAGAGTAGAGACAAATCGATCGATAGAATAGGATGGAGTAGAAGTGTAAGATGTGAATGCAATAAAGCAGAAGGCCAGAAAGAGTTTCTAGTGAAGGCACTCCAAGAACCAAGTGGAAGCATCCCCGTCGCCAGCATTTGTGAAAGACGTCCGTGGCACTTTGAACGCGTAGCAGCCTTTCGGTTTTTCGAATTTTTCCAAAAATGCAATTTTCTGTTCTTTTCATTCTTATCGTGGATGATGGGTCTCAAGCCAGTGATTTATGGCTGAAATTGAATCATGATTTTCCCGTGAATTATTCCTAGGGGGGGGGTCTAGAGGAAGGTGCGTAAACAATTTTTATTTTTCACGAAGTTCATCCTGTCCCCCTAGGCTCAGTTCGCATACTGATGTCCCCCCTTCCCTTCTAAGTACACTACCGCCGAAATTTGTTTCGGACCGAATTTCGACTGAAGAGATGCGGAATTTTCCAGCCTCACGTTTTCTTTATTCCGATTTCCGCAGATTTTTATGCAGCCATAGTTCCGGGAGCGCTCGTAAACCTTGCTTCTACGTGAGATGTCTTCTGATCCGTGCATAGATATTCAGTACCGCTGTGTTTCCACAATTATGCAGCATTCTGGGATTAGTATTTACGTCTCTGAACCTCCTCTTGCGCAATCTGCGTCTTAGCTGTTGTGAAAGACACCTCCAGCAGAGTCACACGTTTATAAATAATATGCTTATGGTTAGATATGACTAAATAAAACAGCAAATCTAATCCGCGATAATAAGCTGTCTCAATTGGACTGTTTCTGTCGTTCAGGGGTCTGAACAAGCAAGGCTATCAATGTCAGTTGTGCTCGACGGCAGTACACAAAAAGTGCCACGAGAAGATCATCATGCACTGCCCCGGCTCGGCGAAAAACACCAAAGAGACCATAGTAAGTAAACAAACATCTGATTTTAGAACTGCTAAGCTTTGTTTTCATGCGTCAGACGGCGCTTTATCCGACCAGTGATGTCGTTTTGAGCCGGGCGTTAAGAGGATTCTGGAAGCTGCCACTTGCCCATTTCAGGCACTGAAAGAGCGATTCAAAGTTGATATTCCGCATCGGTTCAAGACCTACAACTACAAGAGTCCGACATTCTGTGACCACTGCGGTTCAATGCTTTACGGATTATTCAAACAGGGACTGCGATGCGAAGGTGAGACTGTTGTACTTCTCTTTGGAGTAGATTCTCGTTGTTTTTATCTATCTCGTTTCTCAATTCTACCGCAGATCCTACTTAGAAGCATCTTTTTTGTCCCATCCCTCATTGGTTCTGCCCTAATAAAAAATATAAGCAGGAACAAAAGTATGAAATGGGTCTGCAATGGTCTCGTAGTTGGGTTTTTTTCGAGGTCCTGACTCAATGGCTCCTGACAAAGCTCCTCATTCGTTTCCATTTCTCTACATACAATTTTGCGGATCAATCTAGTGAATAGCTCAGTCTACAGAAAAGGCCAAATAATTCTTCCCCAAGGGGCTTTTCTCTCATAAATTGACTCCACCAATGATTAGCAGATGTTAGCCACCATCTCGATGGTAGTGTCTATGACTGCTACTCCTTTTGATTTGGTTGATTCCGTGTTCGCTATCAATTTGCGTTTTGCTCAATTACTACAGCGCGTGCGCATAATTAGGAGAAATAAATAAATAACCAACAAATAAATAAATGAAATGTGTATACATTTGTTGAATAATTGTAGATTATTCTTTCTTAAACTTTGAATTTCAGTTTGTAATGTGAACTGCCATCATAAGTGCGAAAAGTTGATGTCGAATTTGTGTGGAGTAAATCAGAAGCAATTGTCGGAGGCACTCTACGAGATCAAGCGAGGCACGGCTGCCAGTTCCAGGTCACTATTTATCGGCTATTGGAAGGCTTTCTGAAAAAGGAGAAACGATTTCCCTTTTGTTGCAGTTGTCCACCTGCTATTGGCAATTTGCATCTCGGCAATGGCGATTCGAAACATGCGAACGGAAGTCTGCCCAATAAGTTGAAGAACTTCTTCAAGACGCAGCAGTACAGTATGGAGAACCATGCCGAGCATGACGAGTACGGTCTTTATCATAGTATTCAGGCCAAATGGGCTGCTGAATTTTTCTCTTTAGGTATATGAACAATATCTGGACAGGTGGTGAGGGTCCGGTGAAGAAATTTGGTTTACAGCATTTCACCTTGATGAAAGTACTTGGAAAAGGCAGTTTCGGAAAGGTCGGTTCTTCATGGGACCATTCGAATAGGTTTTTTTTAGGAGTTCTACTTTTAATCAGTATTGATGGGGTCCATATTGCAGGTGATGTTGGTGGAACTGAAAGGTAAAAACGAATTTTATGCAATGAAATGTCTGAAAAAAGACGTGATCCTGGAGGACGACGACACAGAATGCACGTATATCGAGCGACGGGTTCTGATTCTGGCCAGTCAATGTCCATTCCTTTGCCAGCTCTTCTGCTCCTTCCAAACCAATGTGAGTTCTGTAGAGCAGGATTTGGCCTGAACAAAGTAGTAAAAAACGCCAATGAACAAAGAACTTCAAGCAAGGGCAGCTGTGCACCTTTCCAGACCTGAAACTAGCCCCGCTATTGTATTCACTCCTTCGGTGTTCGTGCTTTAGAATCAGGTTTCCTCACGGTGATTTTTAGCAAGATTTTTTTATGACAGTAATAAAGGAATAACAATTGCTATTGATCCATTCAAGTTGGCATGCGCCACGCATACCACTTTTGACCAGGACCCTAGTGTCATATGAATACAACTTGAGTTATACGGTGGCTGTGTGGCTGTCCGATAATCATACTGGTTTTTTATCTTCTCAGGCGGACCGGTACTGATTAGCCGACTCTGGAGGATAGAATACTTGGTTAGTCTGAACGGGGATTCGATACGATACTTGACCCTCTGGTCGCCCGCCTGATATGGGGCACAATTCTCTTTACTCTGTTGCCTCTACGACTCTGATGGAGCATCTATACCATAGCTCCCATTTTCCAGTAGTGTTCGACGGTAAGCCTGTTTGACCTAAGGGTTTCTGAAGCGCTGATAGCTCCAGTCTTGAATCTCGATTGTGAACGAACTCATACTTTTAGCGCTCTCTGGTTATATTTGCACATTTTGCCCAAAACCAAGCTGGCGCTTTATAAATGTAGGAGAGTGTGCATTTTCACAGCAGTCTGTAACATTTTCTGTCACGAGTGGGATGGAAGACTTGGTTCCGTTGAGGCGCGATCTGAGGTCTAATCCTCGGACCACAAGCGCGTGATAAACAACGGCAGTCGCCCCTAAACCATTTCCGCCCTCGTCGTTATTTGGCCCAATATCTGTGAACGAGTTTCATCACATTTTTTGCACGGGAAAACTACATGAAATCGATTAAACCTGAAAAGGCGGTCAAAGTTCACTGTTACAAGCCAAACCTGTAAGGCAGTTATTAGTTATTTCTCTGTGCTGTCATGCTGCATAATTGTTTTGATTACAAAGAAATTTCAGGAATACCTGTTCTTTGTGATGGCTATCTCTAATCGGCGAGACTCTAATCGCAGTCCACAGTCCAGCAAGTGAGAATCGACGCGATCGAACTCGATTTCTATATCGCCTGTGGATTCATCGTTGCGCCGACAATTCCTGCACTCAAACAACATCATCCTCCCCGTAAGGCAGTTTTCATCAGAGCATTAATTATCGAACGCCAGATAAAAAGACCTAGACATCTCTAGAAACTTGTCCTTGTATTGCCTCTTTCCCCAGCCAGCCTCCCTTCCACTACCGCTAAGTGCAGAGGAGAGGTTTTATACAGTTAACGTGCGCCTGTCGACAGTTTTATCTCAGTTTTTCTCTCCAACATGCTTCGTTCGAACTTCGCACTCTAATAACCTTAGTTCGTCAAATCGCCATAAACTACCCCCTCTCAGCTGAGCCCGCACTTTTGCCCTTTAGGTCGTCCCTCTCCGGCTAATCACAACGGCGGCCGAGGTTGTAAAACCTTCCGCCCAGAACCGATTTTGTTGCGCTCACGACTCTCTCTAAGAACTACTCGCAACGAATGCAGTCCTATTAGGGCCCGCCTTAGTGCTTTACCTACTCTTATTCTTCCTTAAGCCTTAACCTGAACCGGTCGCGGTCGCTCCCGCAGAGCCACCCTTGAGCCCCAACCTTTTTTTACCGCTGCGTGGCGGCACTGTACGGCGTCGTGATGGCCGGCTGTTCGCTGAAGAGCTGGAAGCAGTTGAATGTCAGGCTGAATTCAAATAAGAACGACTTCCCGGCTCGGCTTCCCTGTAACACTTCAAGTTCACAATTACGCCTAACAGGGACTCGTACCATTTGCGCGGGGATCCGGACGATTGACATACACCCGTCAATTAGCACCTACAGTGTCCCATTTGAACCGCCACATTCTCTCATTCTTGCTATCGCGGAGTTTGCCTCCAAGGGAAGCAAAACAAGAAAAAGTTCTCCTAGAAACAGCGTTCGCTTATTTCGCGGCTTTCTATTAGCTCTTACAAGATCCTAACTCCGACACTAACTAGACTCTTACATTTTTAGAGATCTGAAACTGGACAATATTCTCTTGGATTCGGAAGGGCATGTGAAATTAGCCGATTTTGGCATGGCGAAGACGGAAATGAATCGCGAAAATGGAATGGCATCGACTTTCTGTGGAACCCCCGACTACATCAGCCCTGAGGTCAGTCGACCTCATCCGACTATGGGTTTCGTTCAAAAACTATGAGCATTGATTCCAGATCATCAAAGGACAACTTTACAACGAAGCCGTCGATTTCTGGTCATTCGGAGTCCTGGTGAGTGTTCTCTCTCTACTTTCAGCGATTCTCTTGGGGGAAAATTGGCTCTAATTTGCAAGGCCCTTTTCTGCTTACTGCCGCTGTTTTCATAAGTATATTTTTATAACTTTCAGATGTACGAGATGTTAGTTGGACAGTCACCATTCCATGGTGAAGGCGAAGACGAGCTGTTCGATTCCATTCTTAACGAACGACCATACTTTCCGAAGACCATCTCCAAAGAAGCTGCCAAGTGCTTGAGTGCTGTGAGTTTACTAGATCTCTACTGGATTCCGAATATTCGTAATTCGTAATATTAAAATTCATACATTTCAGCTATTCGATCGTAATCCGAACACACGACTGGGAATGCCCGAGTGCCCGGACGGCCCCATTAGGCAACATTCCTTCTTCCGCGGTGTTGATTGGAAGCGATTTGAGACTCGACAAGTCCCTCCGCCATTCAAGCCAAATATTGTGAGTGAAATCATTCCTTGACTACTAGCTTCTATAAAAGATTATTCGCTAATTGAAATACTGCTTTCCTTCAATGGGAATGGCAGAAAACAATCTTCTTATCAAGAGTTTGTGGCAGGCTATACATATCACTTTTGCTACTTTTTAATACTTTGTTCCGAACCGAAATTGGCCATTATTTTTGAAGCGATGTGTTAATAGTGAAGTTAAAGACTTGAAGAGTAAAATTTAAAGAAAGAAACCGGCAAGGAATTTTTTGTGACAGCTCACTTCCTATTTCTATTCCGTGGCAGCGAACATTCTTGCACGGGGTGGACGGAGTACATGAGACGGCATTGTTGCGATGCGGTTCAGGAGACTGCATGGAATACCCCAAATCCAAACCGAAAGATCCCGAGTGTAAATTGAAGGGCGCGTTCCAATCATCAGCAAATATGTACCATCCCTGCTTTCTACACTGAAGGCACCAGAAGATTTTCCACGGAAACATAGTCTACGGTCCGGAATCAACTGATCGTGGGCCATTACGACCTTATCTGAAAAACTGGTAGAAAGTGGTGACCTGTTAACTGATTGAAAAGGTGTGTAGCAGTTTGAGGCCACAGCGACTCGTGTAGGCCTCCTTGAGTTCGACATAAAGTTCTTTTCTGAGAACGGTGAGGGCAAGGGAACTTTTTAGGGGATATTCTGCCATGAAACTTCCATCCACGGCGGCACCCTGTGCGGCGGAAAGTTTGATGATGAACGACATTGGGGGAGCGACTCTTTTGTCGCCCCCCCCCTAAACCCCTTCTAAGGAGTTTTCCGTGAAATGAGGCGAACAATTGGGTCGGGTTTGATCGAAATATTAGAGTGGAAGAAGTAGCCTTTTGTTCACGCTAAAAATGCATTTTTCAGAAATCCACCTCAGACGCGTCGAATTTCGACGACGACTTCACGAACGAGAAGGCGGCGCTGACGCCAGTGCACGACAAGTCCCTGCTGGCCTCCATCGATCCAGAGGCGTTCTTGAACTTCTCCTACACCAATCCGCAGTTCCTCTGAAGGCGACGTCGTTGTTATCTGAACTGTGACCTGATGTGTAATCAGCTATTAGCTACTGATGCTGGGCTCAATTAAACACGCAATATTACTTCTCCATGATAATTTACTTGCACGCACGCCATTCACGGTGAGAAGTACTGTATAGAGTGATAGAGATATGATAGAGATGTCCCATAGAGATTTTTGCGTTATCGTGATCAGCACACCCTCACATTGCTGCACCTGTTCAAATCACTCCCACTAATAGTCATAATTAATAGAGAGAACATAATAAGAGCTGGAATCTCGTTTGTGTGTGTCGCTTCCCGGATCACGCTTCTCCTAATTAGCACTCCTCTGCTCCTACACCACCTTTCAGTTCTCGAATCGAACTCGCTGACTCCTCAGACGCCCAATTTTAGCCGGGTCTCACTTATTGGTTATCATTCATTTTGTGTTTCTTCATTTAGTGGTTTATTGGCTAGTGTGGCAGTGCTATCGCTGCCCATTTTGTCCAAACTCTCCACAAATTCCTCTTGTTCACTTTGTTCAACAAACGCACCACATTGGCTATTGTTCCCGTTTAGGATGTCTTACCATAAATTAGAATATACCTGTGATCCATAAGAATCGATTTATTGATTTTGCGGCCAAAGCTGCTTCATGGCCGCTAAGCCGAGTTCCGAGTCGAGAACTCGTATGCACATCTTCGCCTGAGAAACAAAGCTTTACCCAATGTATGATGAATTTTAGCCCAAATTGGCATGTTCTCAGTGTGTTCCATTGGCATTGTGCCAAGATGTGCATACGGTAACTCGTCCATTTCCTCATATCATATTTCTATTAACAAGGCCGGAAACTTCTTTGATTTTGAATCGTTTTTCTTTGTTTACTAATGTACAAAACATTTCATCTAATAAATGGTGATTCATATGCTCAGTTTTTCACAGGTCAACTTTCTAGGTTAAATCCAAACTTCGTCAATCGACAAAATTCCCTCCTCGATGGTTGAAACATTGTCCGGCTAACGCAGCACGCAACTGCGGAACGGATGGTCAGCACAATGTCTACGTCTAAAGTTTGCTACATCTCCCAGTAGTGAGCCGCATTCAAGCCGCGTTTTCTTCTTCATTACATATCCGATTTGTATAATTCCCTTGACCATAGTGAGAGATTTGCTATTAAAAGCAAAACTCGCAATCAAAGAATGGGGGCGATCCTATCCAGATCCAAAGTCAAAGATGCTAATAATAGAGACGCTAATAATAGTAAATCTCTCACTATGGTCAAGGAAGTTCCTCGTCAGTAAAGAAAAAGCTAGGGGAGCTGCCCTAGAAGCCGCCATGTTCGACTCTCGGTGAACCTATTGTTAGTGGTTGAATGTTATAACTTCGCTGAACTGCACACGAGGTTGATAATTATTGCTACGTTTCGGCAGAGTTCGCCGATCTTCGAGCCTGAAAGGAAGCTACCGTTCACGAGTCTGCCCACCAGTGACAGTTTCCCACATCGCTACTAAAACACCACCAATCAAACTTGTTTTCACTAGGGTGTATGTCAGAGCGTCGTCCGTCTGACCCCCGCTGTACTAACGTGGCTGCGAGCGGGTGCCTGCAACGACAACTGACTGAATCTTCCGTGAGCGTCACCTCGAATTCTGAACTGTTACCTTCTATATTAACATTCCATCAATCCTACACGGGCTCAACCGTCAAACTCCGCGGCCTCGCTACTCACGACTCCTGCGTTCTCTGAGAAATCGCCAGGCAAGTGGCCGCAGGCGGCGGCGCGACGACCGGACGATTCTGTTGACCGTTCCCAGATCGCAAGGGAGAAGAAATACCGTACCTTTACCAGGTCCACTGGACCAGCCAACATCAAGAACAGCCCACCGCTTACTTCCAGGATCTCGCACCGTGACCCTCTGCCGAAATCGTCTCCGTCAGTAATTAGACCTCTGTGGCCCCCCAGCGCAAGTGTAAAGCGACGACCCGCCTCGGCGCATCTCGATATCGCTCCCTTGATCCGCCGCATTAAAGTGGTCTAGTCACTTTCAACACTTACTGGCCAGGGTGGGTATGTACTCTCCCGCATTTTCCTGCAGGAGATTTTGTGGACCACCCCACCCCAGCTAGCGCGCATTCCCCTTCCCTATCAACAGGGCGTCGATTGTATTGTACGAGTCCGAAATTAGGCATCGACGATCATAAACACAGTTTCGAACCAGACGGCGCTCTAAGTTGCCGGTTGGAGCCTCCACGATGCCAACCGTGTTGTCCAGTCCCCATCTCCTCGGACACTTCATTATGGAAGCACTAACTTCAGCGGTGATGAAGGGCATTACGAAGGGAGTATTGCTAAGGAGTCCTTTCTCTCATCCTCTCCCGTGCAGACCTTTGTGGCTGTTCGGATCATGCTTCCTGATGATTACTACTTTTGTTTGAAGGAGAGGATGCGTTGAACGAAAACGAACGATGTATTCATGCTGTTGCTTCCTATGCCACCTGGCAGAAAGGTTAGCCGGGGTCAACCGCCCGTTACGCAAAAAACAACAAGGGGATAGCATTTGGCCAATGGAGGAGGAAGAGGGTCGTAACCTCAAGTACCATTCACAAAATTAGAAGCTGCCAAGGCGTGGCTAAGTGGCAAAGGAGGACAGACTTTCAACTGCCACTGCGACTACGCACCACAGACGATTGAATGGCGCATCCCAGAGCGAGATTTCTTACTAAAATACGTCATGTTCAGTGAGCACAAGCGAAAAATTCTCTCAGAGAAAATCCCATGCTTTTAGAACAAATCAAAGTGGAGGAAAGTGCATCGCTCGAAGTGCTGGCTGATTGACCTCTGAAGTACTAATAGAAACCTATGGCAGAGAAAGGTTTTCCTTTCGCGATCATCTAGCATATGCTACGAAGTAGTGATCTTTTTGATTTCAATGGTTTTGTCCGCTTTTCAGTGTACGGCTTTGAAGAAACGCATGGCCTAGAGGTTGAAAATTCGCGTTTCAAGAAAATGGCCTAAAAAGGCCATTGAGGAAAAATCGGAACAACGAGGACGATTTTTTGAAGAATTGAACACTTGCAACAGTTCAAAAGCTTTTTAGAAAGAAAACAATTTGAAGTTTTTAAATTTTTGTATCCATCTCATGAGAACCCTCTTAAAGTGAC